GCATTTACATGTACGGACCAGTCCAGTTTATGGTCCAGGTGGACTCCCAGATATTTGTACGTCTGGACCACCTCAATGCCCTCTCCCTCAATTCCCAACGGTAGATGGTTTGTAGACTTACGTCTCCCAAAGTCCACTAGCATCTCCTTGGTTTTGGATGTATTGAGGATGAGACCATTGCACCTGCTCCAGGTCACAAACGCTGAGATGGCGTATTCCACCTCGTCTCCTACCGTCACTCAAGCTGCCACCACAGTGTCATCAGAATATTTAAAAAATAGCCGAATCCCAAATAGACGCCGGTCTCTTTTACACGCCTGGTGTGGCTGCGGGTTTGGGTATAAAAGCTGGTCTCAAATAGACACCGTGTCTGTGTTTTAGTTTTGGGTTGTTAATCTTCTAAAACCATCAGATCGTACACTTTTTAGTGGCCACCAAATCAAATATTTGTCCCGCCAAATCCTATTTTTATCGGTGAGTGACAGTGTGCATAACGAGCAGAGAGAGAGAGAGAGAGAGATTGAGCGAGAGCAGCAATCTCACGTCTTCAAACAAAACGAGTGCTGTCTTGCTCTATCTCCCACGCGCATATTAATCTAATCAGTTGTCACAATATTAAAAGGTTGGAAGACCGCAGTTTCACGTGTAGGATTTGGAGATTTTTAGAGATTAGAGACCAAATGAACAACATCTCAACACTAAATTGGGTGGAGCAGGGTAGGAGGTAGTAGCAGAGGTGGAACAGCCGCTAGGTGTAACTGGGCAGGAGGCAGCAGCAGAGGTGGAACAGCCGCTGGGTGGAGCAGCAGAGGTGGGACAGCCGCTGGGTGGAGCAGCAGAGGTGGAACAGCCGCTGGGTGGAGCAGCAGAGGTGGGACAGCCACTGGGTAGAGCAGGGCACAAGGCTGCAGCAGAGGTAAAACTGCCACTGGGTGGATGTGGTAGAGGGGCACAGACAGGAGCAAACCTACTTAAAAGTGGTTAAACTCGTTAGCCAAAGAGTCATCTTCCTGAGTCACCCTTGCATTCTCCTTACAGCCAGTAATCACTCTCATTCCCTTCCACACTTCTCTTGTGCTGTTGTGCTGCAGTTTTTTCAATTTCTTGTAGTCTTTTTTAGCTTGTCTTATGGCCTTCTTCAAGTCAAGTTGGGCTCCGGGATCCACCTCCTCTGGGATCTGGGGGTTGCAGGAAGTCTCATTATACAAGGTCTATAGGATGACCTGAGATGGATCATGTTGTGGCCTAACTTAGCGAGCGGGGGCAAAGCGCATACACTATAAGCATTTTCCACATTAATGTAGCAGAGATCCAGAATACTGCTGTAGCTTGTGTGATAGATGGCATACTGTGTAAAGCCGCCCACAAATTAGCTAATGTCAACGTGATTGTAATCTCTCGAAATTGCAATCAGCGCATCTGAGTGTTGTGACTGTATTCTTGCAACTGTGCTCTGAATGATGTCACACGCTACTGAGGGGTCTTCCCGCGGCACCTAGTAAGGTCTTGAACTCACCGCAAGAACCTCCACATCCCAGCAACAGGTTTTTTTCCTGAACAGTAATGTGACCGGAGCGGCACCATCTGTCGTTCACGAGCAGCACCAGTCCGCCTCCTTTCGTCTTTCCACACTTCTCTGGCTGTCTGTCCACTCACACTTTGGTGAAACCAGTTATGTTAACAGTTGAGTCAGGGACAGTATCGGTGAGCCAAGTCTCCGTAATACAGTACAGACTGCATTCCCGATAGATCCGTTAGACATTTTTTATCAGGGCCTCCAACTCCTCACACTTATTAGGCAGCGATTTAACGTTGCCCATGATGATCGATGGCAAAAAAAGGCTTATACCGCCACCTCCTAGCCTTCACCTGAGCTCCTGCCCAGCATCCACAGAAGGGCTTTCGCAACGCACTCGGGATCGAGTGCATAATCCAATTAGATTTTCCATGTGGTTGCAGGTTAAGGAGTTTGTCGCATGAATATGTTATTAAACACATTTTGGACCACACTCAAGCCCCATACAAAGACGCATTTACTCAGCACAACACCAAGCTTTCTGCACCGGACTTGCTGCCCGTGCAGTTGCCGTATGCGTGCAATGGGGGTTGAATAATTTTGATTGCAAGTATATATACTGTACATAGTTACAAGTGCTCAGTATCCAAATCTAAACTCATTTATTAAATTGATTGTCCAGTTTTCTTTCTGTTGAGACTTCCGCACAAATCTGACAGTACAGCAGGTTATTGATGAAGTGTGGAGGTGATGAGCTTTGATTTTTGTTTTCTGTAGAGTTTCCAGTCTCTCTCGGCTCCTCCTGAATCTACAGACGTAAATGACGATCCCTTCAGTCCTCTCTCCTCTTTTGATGGTGTGAGAGAATCTGTCCGTCAGCTGAGAGTCAAACTGGAGGATTTCTGCAAAGAAGAGCTGAAGAAGATCTCTGACAGAGGTAAAGTCCTGGAGATTCATCAGCTCTCAGAAATCATCCTACATCTTCTCATATCATGTAGAAGATCATATTAGAAATGTCTAATTCATATCTGTTGATTTCCACAGTCACTTTCACCAACATTGTTCCCAGAACCAGGAACGATTTCCTACAATGTAAGTCACTAAGAAAACAAGCAGAAAAACTCATTGAGTGTGTTCATGTTCTTCCTGTAGAAGGTGAAAGAAAACATGACAGAAAGGTTTTAGAGTTGATCATGTAAATGATGACTTGCACAGGATATCTGATAAACTGTACTGAGACACTGCTGATATATTGAACATGAAGAGTTCTGATATATTAAAAGATCAGACAGATCCATAATTCCTGATTCTGATGTGTTTTTATCTCCATCAGATTCCCATCAGTTCACTCTGGATCTGAACACAGTGAATAAATTCCTCAGTCTGTCGGAGAGGAACAGAGTGATTAGATTCTCTAACACAGTCCAGCCGTATCCGGATCATCCAGACAGATTTGATGTGTGGCAGGTGTTGTGTAGAGAGAGTGTGTGTGGACGCTGTTACTGGGAGATTGAGTGGAGTGGTGAACATGTGTATATATCAGTGTCATATAAGAGCATCAGCAGGAAGGGTGAAAGTAATGAGTGTTTGTTTGGATGTAATGATCAGTCCTGGAGTTTGATCTGCTCTCCCTCCAAGTACTCATTCAGACACAAAATAAAGACTGAAATCACTGTAGAGCCCATTAGCAGGAGAATAGGAGTGTATGTGGATCCCAGTGCAGGAACTCTGTCCTTCTACAGCGTCTCTGACACAACGAGCCTCATACACACAGTCCAGACCACATTCACTCAACCACTCTATCCTGGCTTTGGGGTTTATTATGGATCAGTGAAACTGTTAATGAATCTGAATAGACTGTAGAGCTAAATATTGTATTACACTCACCTAAAGGACTATTAGAAACACCATATTAATACTGTGTTTGACCCCCTTTGCCTTCAGAACTGCCTCAATTCTACGTGGCATTGATTCAACAAGGTGCTGAAAGCATTCTTTTGAAATGTTGGCTCATATTGCTAGGATAGCATCTTGCAGTTGATGGAGATTTGTGGGATGCACATCCAGGGCACGAAGCTCCCGTTCCACCACATCCCAAAGATGCTCTATTGGGTTGAGATCTGGTGACTGTGGGGCCATTTTAGTACAGTGAACTCATTGTCATGTTCAAGAAACCAATTTGAAATGATTCAAGCTTTGTGCCATGGTCCATTATCCTGCTGGAAGTAGCCAGGGCCCAGTTTTTCAAAAGTAATCCACTAGGATTTTGGATAACGGATTGGATCAAATCTTGAAAATGGGTTTTTCAAAAGAAAAAATGGATTACCTAATCGGATTAGATCACATAATCAAATCTTGGTTTTGATTCGGATCAAACCTTTAGTTTGGATTTTTCAGAATTTTTTTTTGTAGAATTTGGATCACACTGATCTAAAAAAATCTGGATTAAACTGATCCCATCAGAAGGGTGGATTCAACGTGGATTTCATGCCCAAAATGTAATAAAAACTTTAAAAATGTATCAAATAATACTATATTTGGATCATGCAACATCTTACAAGATATCCTATTTATTCATAAGGTTTTCATTTTATTTGTTCTTCTGTCAGGCTACAGTGATTAGGTAGGCTTCAGCATACGCCTACAGCAAAGTAGAAAGAGTTTGGCCTCATAAATGACCAAAAACAATACATTTTATTCTGTCACTAATTTATATATATATATATATATATATATATATATATACATATATATATATATATATATATATATATATACGTCATGCAAGTAGACAAGTGGTCTAGAGCAAAGACTACAAGTGTGGGTATTTGGACAAGGCAAGAGTTTAGCTTCAACCCTGATTAAACACACCTGAACAAGCTAATCGAGGTCTTCAAGATTACTAGAAGTTACAGGCAGGTGAGTTTTTCAGGGTTGGAGCTAAAGTCTCCCGGACAGTGACCCTCCAGGACAGAAGCTGCCATCCCTGAATAAGACGTTACCGATAAGATCAAAGGCAGACCATATAATAATGTCTAATACGGATTTTTTACTTTTCAGTATGTATCTGTTATTTCATAGCAGGATTTATGTTAGGTAGAACTATTTTTGTAAATCAATTTTCAATAAAGGAAATCTGAGTTTATTTAACGATGATTTTAATAAAGATAATGACATGTTAACCAGATTTACATGATTTTAAACTATTTTACTTTAAGTTTTCCATTCAGACCATCATTGTAATCCTTTCGAGGCCCTTTTATTTAATGCACTTTAAGTTGAAATTTTATTTTATTTATTGACCTTATGTTCTGGAGGAAAACTGAGATGGAATGGGATGGACATATTGTGATGAGACGCTCTCAGAGATTTAGTTTAGAGTGTTTTTAGTCTAGTGAGATCATTTAAGTCCATTATCTCTCTCTCTTTCTGACTGACAAATATATATATATATATATATATATAACCACACATTTATTTTTATATACATATTTTCAATGAGTGTGGAATATTTAAACATTCTTTCCAATCTTTTTATCTCTTGATTTTATCCTTAATTGAGAAAATGACAGATGCCTCTGTTTTTTATCTCATTTTAATTTGGGATTTTTTTTAAGCGTGTGAACAGGACTTTTATTTTGGTATGTTAGTAATATGTCATAAGGCTGCGCCGCGCTCCTCGTCTGTGATTCTGAAGAGAGGTTTGTGTTTATAATCCTTAAAAGTGTTTGAACCAATACAAGCTGTTCGTACAATTAAATGGAGAACTTAAAATAGAGCTTATTATTTTCGAATGAATCATGTAATAGCATTAATGAGTATTGTTTTGTAAGAGTGAAGCGGATGAATAACAGAAAAGCTGCGTCTCAATTTGCAGTTTGAGTTTATTGGATAAATAAATTCAGTCTCTAGCCAGGTTTCCATCTAAGGATTTTTTTGCGAAAAACATTTTGTGCTTCAAAATCTTTATATAGGCTACATTGCTGACGAAAATGTCATTTATCGATTATATTTCTCTAGTGTCAGCACAATCTTTTTCCATTTAACTTTAGCACATTACATTATGTCGATACTTCAAATGTCAGCAGTAGTTTGGGAACACTGAAGTTATCTTAAACTTCATTTATCATTATTTTTTAAACGTTTTTTTCTTGATTAGGCCACAAATGAAAATGAAAATTAACGAAATTAAGATGTGAAGTTGTTTTAGTGACAACATGGATATTTGAGTTATCTCAAGTTTAAGCTGGGAACGTTATTCAAACTAAATCAATTGCACACTATTTTTACAGTGAATAGGCAGTTGTTTCTCAAATTTTTAAAATAATAGGTCTATTACTAAGCATTAAGAGGCTCGACATTAAGCCTTGTCATGTGTAAATCGGTCATTCACTTATACGAGTAAAAAAAAAATTTTTTGGGTGGTGTAAATTTAATTCATTCAGAAGCAATTTTTAATTTACTTTTTTGTGTTTTTTCCCCTGAGGGCTTTTTACAAAAATAACATTTTTAAAGGGCTCCAGCACTTATATTTTAGTGGTAAGTGTGGTACATGTTGCCGGTACTCTGAGGCCAACCGAAACATCGAATCAGGCTATTAATTAATTGTACATCACATCATGTTCCAAACTTTTATAAGCTGTATGAACTGAACGGATCATTGATCTGCGCAATATGACTGACTGAAGCCCAATCGTTTAATTTTGTAAGAGTGGCGCATGAATAAGGCACGTTCACCAGTGCGTGCCAAAAGTGTAATTAAAATTTGCACGAGTCGTTCCTATGTGGCACTTATGATAAAATGGTGCAACATTTAAAATGTTTAATGTATTACATGTAATGTACAAAATTCAATAATATAAAGAATAGCTAAACAAAACTTCTTAATTTGTAGTTTTTGTAGTGCTAGTTTTGAGTGTTTTTAGTGTAATTAGGTGAATTAAGTCCATTAACTCTCTCTCTGACTCTCTTACCAGTGAATTGAACTACTGAACTAGATCTGATTGAGACGCTCTCAGAGATTTAGTTTGCATTTATTTTTCTTACTTTTTATTTTTTTCTCATCTAAAACAGGACCGAACACGCAGAAAAACTCTTGATGAAGCGACAGAGATCCATGTGACTATTATAAAGATGGCGTTTATTAAAGAGGAGAGTGAAGATATTAAGATGGTGTTTATTAAAGAGGAGAGTGAAGATATTAAGATGGTGTTTACTAAAGAGGAGATTGAAGAAGTGAAGATTGAAGAAACATTCAAAGTCAAACATGAAGACACTGAGGAACACACAGGTTGGTTTCATTCTCAAAGCTGAACTCAGTCATTTGATCTTTATTAAAAAAGTTGAGCTCTACAGAAATGAATGATATTTTTGAAGAATTACTAAGAGTACATTTAAATTGTATTCTATAACATGTGGAATGAAATCTTATGCATCACAGAAATCTTATACAGCGTGTCTATTCGCACAGGGCTAGTATAACCTGAGGTAATTTTTCAGGACTTTTTTTACAGAAGGTGAAAGTGACTGTAGTCTTTACTGACATTGTCCGTAATGTTTACTGAGATGCACATTCGGATGGGACTAAAATCACTGAGAAGATCTGCTAATTATTACTTTACCCAACCTCTCCATGTTAAACTAGTCCCGTCCGAATAGGGCTATTAAAAAAAAAAAAAAAATAAGGTAAGTAATTGGTAAGTTTTTTTTTTTTTTTTTCAGAGAATGAAGAAATATAGAGCTGCGTATCATCAGCATAGCAATGAAAACTGATGCCATGTTTCCTAATGTTATCTCCTAATTGTAGCATGTACAGAGTGAATAGCAGCGGTCCTAGTACTGAGCCTTGTGGTACACCATACTGAACTTGTGATCGATTAGACATCTTTTCATTTACTGCTACAAATTGATAACAATTGTATAAGTATGAATTGTACCATGCAAATTTAATTCCACTAATGCCAACATCATCATCATCATAATCATAATAATAAAATCTATTCAAATGAATGTTGTGGAAATTCTCAAATGCAGCACTAAGATCGAGTAACACTGATAGAGCGATACAACCACGATCGGATGATAAGACAAAATCATTTGTGACTCTAATGAGAGCTGTCTCAGTACTGTGGCACTGTCTAAATCCTGACTGGTACTCCTCGCAGATAACATTATTATTATTATTTTTTTATTTGTATAAAGATATAAAGTGTGGAGATTGCCTTTTCTAGCATAATTGACAGAAAGGGTAGATTTAGGATTCGTCCAGTAATTAACATTCTATAGGATCAAGTTGCATTTTTTAATAAGAGGTTTAATAATAGACAACTTGGATAAAGGGGTCATATAATGGTACATGCACTTTTACAAGTTGATTGTACTGCAATGTGTGTTGTCAGTGCCTGTACACAACCATCATTTAATGATAAAAGTCCATCCAGAGTTTTTGCTTTAATCTCCTTGTATGTTTTCCTCTGTCTCAAATCGAGCCGTTTCACCATGTGGCGTCACACAGCGCGTGACACCCCTCCCACGGTTGTTGATTGACAGCAGTGTTTCAACACAGACCCGCCCTGAGCAAGCTGTCATCATAGTCCGTCGTTGATACGCTGGAGCAGAATGGCGTCTAAGCGATTGTGTTGTTCTGTTCTTGGGTGAAATAACGAACATAGAAATCATTTGGATGTTCCTAAATTTGAACCGCTGAAAACGCAGTGGCTGAGTTTTGTTTACGATGAGAATATTCCCCACGATCAACGTCAATACTTTCATGTTTGCGCAAATAATTTATCTTAGAGTTCTTTATAAACAAGGGTCAGTATAAAGCTGGTTTTGCTAAGAAGCTGCTCCTGAAAAAAATAATCAAATGCACATTGACGGATCTTCTTCCGACTGTTCTCCAAATTGTAATCAAATGTATATTTTTGCAGCATGTTTAAATGGTAAACTAAGGAAGGAAAAGGCATTCTTTTTTAAGACGAGTTTGCACGCCACTGCGCAATACACTCAAATTACCGCAGGATGGCAAGTCTTCTACTGTTCATAGACAGTATGGCTATTACCTGTGAAAGAAGAGTGTTGAAGAAAGGTATAGCTATTAATAAAGATACGTCACATTCCTTACACCGGGCATACGAGGTGTTGCCATCAGGGAGAAGGTTTAGGTTACCTTATTTCCGGATAAATCGAGCCAGTAAATTATTCTTTCCAACTAGCATCACTTTGATGAACAAGAAGTTACCTGTTGGATTGCACTTTACATAGCACTATTTAGCACTTTAATTAGGTTTCTCTGAGTCTTCTGTCCTGATGCTGTGTATGTGTATGGGTGCGGTGGGGTTGAGGGAGGGGGGTGGTTGGGGTGAGGGAGTGTTGTATTCTGTCATGTAAAATTGTCTTTGTATAAATGTATCAGACGTACTGTAGGTGCAGACTGTAACTTAATCTAGGTCCATTTCATAAACTGTGAACAATGGTATCTTATGTAATGTATAAATTAAATATATATTTCCAAAAAAAAGGGCTAATGTCATACTTTGTAGTATTGCTATCGTGGCGAACTGAATGAGATTAAATCAAATGTATCATCCTGTGGAATCATTCATTCACAGACAGCATACAAAGATGTTCAACTAATAAAGATCACTGGCCAACAATATGATGCATTTGCAGATGTGGTTTCACTTGACTATAGACCTTATGTAGCCCCGCCCCTTTTCAGCGTTGCGCTCGTTGTCTTTTGACTTCCGGTGCAGACTGATCTCATGAAGTAGTGCATGCCAAAGGTCCAACCGTGTAAATAAAGGTGACGATACTATGGTCGATACTGTAGAATCAGTTTGAGGCAGAATCAGACCGAGAAAGCGGCGATAAAGAGAGTCAAGCAGAACCTCACCACACACGGCTCTTACTAAACGTTTCTGATAATAATAATAATAATAATAATAATAATAAAATAATAATTTGCTACATTTTTAACTTTATACACGTTTGTTTTACATAATAGCATCTGACTGCCAACACTAGCTACTGACTGGCTACTAATGTTATACTCAAACAGCGTGGCATTAGTTTACGTTCTTGATCAAATTGAAAATAACGTCATAAAGCCTATATACATGAAAAATACGTTTAAAACATTAGTACTTAGTGTAGGGGCGGCAGTGGCTCAGTGGTTCATGTAGGTTGTCTACAAACTGAAAGGTTGGTGGTTCAATCCCCGGTTCCACCTGACCAAGTGTCGAGGTGTCCATGAGCAAGACACCTAACCCCAGCTGCTCCCGACGAGCTGGATGGCGCCTTGTATGGCTGACACCGCCGTCGGTGTATGAATGAGTGTGTGAATGGGTGAATGTGAGGCAATATGTAAAGCGCTTTGGTGGCCATTAGGTCTATGAAAGTGCTATATAAATGCAGTCCATTTACTTATACAAAATTCATGTTAATAATGTTTGTACGCGTTTGTCGTAGACACTAAATAGCATAACTAGTAGCCTATAGTGGCTATAAAGCCAGCGCTGGCATTTGAGAAAAATAACACAAGGCTACGTCTGGAATTAAACATGCAAATACATTTAAAATGATAAAGTCTTAGCCTACTTACAGGTTGTGCCCCAACACTGCTGCCTTTTGTTTTAAAGTTGAAACTTCTTCATGTTTTATGGCTCGTTTCCACTGAGTGGTACCGTACAGTTCGGTTCGGTACGCAATTACTTGCGTTTCCACTGTCCGAAGTTGTCCAAAAAGCCGAACTGTACCACTTTTTGGGTACCCTTCCGTTGGGGTACATAGCACAATGAAAGGGTACTAAAAGGTGGAGCTAGACTCACTGCAGAACGGTGATTGGTGCTACAAGGGCATTAGAAGCATATTGAAATATAATTCTACTGTTATTGTGTCACGAAATGTAGTTTTAAGAGTTTTCAGGCGAGAAAGTAGTTTTTTAAAGCTCAAACCTGTGGTTTATTTATAGATTTATGATAATTTGACTGAGATCCATTCTAAGCGATCACCGGACGCTCTCGCGCTCGTGTCCCCCGCCTGGAACAGCCTTTCCTCGGCTAGTCTTTCTGATGTTTGCCGCTGACTCGGATTTCTCTGTAGTGGTTAAACATGAAATATAGTTCTTCTTGTATAAACCTAACAGGTGATCTTTGGTCTCGTGAATCTATAATTCGTTCCCTAGCCAATAGTTTTGTCAGAAGGCTACGTGAAGTTTCATATCTTTGAGCGCTGAATTTGTATATTTGACTGACTGAATTGTTTCTTGATGTTATTTAAGCTTTACTGTATATCTTTTTGTTCTTTCTTCTTATACTTTTATAATGGCTATTATTGATAAAACTGAAATTCAACAAAAAGAGATATTTATTTTATTACAAGATCATCTGTAATGTTGTTTATTGCAACATTTGTACCAATGCGATATGCAATACATTACATTACATATTGCCTGGAATATGTTTAATATTTTTAAATTTAAACAAAAAGAGGCAGGGTTGTTTTATATTTAGTTTTGTTATAAATATAACGTTACATAGGCTACATGCAGTGAATATAATCAATAGGCTATGCGTTGCCTGAACCACATTTGTGTGCTTTAGAATGTTTAAAATGTATTGAAATGAAATCGAAAAGAAGCAGAGTGGTGTTTTATAACATATTTCATTTTATTGTTGCCTAAAATGAACATACAGAGATAACCGGAGTCGCATAGCCAGAGGGAGCAGAGTGCTGCGTTCAAGAACGAGCTGTTTCATTAGCAGAATTACTGGACTCGCGTCCTCGGGATCATTCTCCTGAGTCGGACTTTGCGTTGGCTTCTTGGAAACGCGTAAATTCCAGCGCTTGTTTCTAGTGACAAACATGCCGAGAAGCAAGAACAAGATCTGCTGTCTGTCATCCATTGTTTTTTACTATGTCGCTTTCTTCGCGCGAAAATGCCGTCGATCGCTACTTTCCAGCATACCACGCCTATCAAGTAAGGGTACTGTTAGCGGTGGAAACTGTTCATGCACCAACAGCAACATTACACACTATTTAAAATCAAAAAAGTGAAATCCCAGTCAACCCTCCCTTTAAATAAAAGTATCCCCATTTAAATCTACTTTTCCAAAAAAATGTACTTTGTTTCTACCCACCTCTGGAGACTGGTTAGTGTTAGTAGAGTTAGTAAGTCTGAGAACCAGCTGATATTATGTCACTGATATGCAACAATGACAAGGGAAAAGCTATTTACAAATCCATGGGAACTTTTGGGATAATGTAAGCGCAACTGCATGGAATATATCACAAGTACAAGTGGTTTTTGTAAATTTTATTAAAAAAATCTTGCATATTGTACCTTTTAAAGCGGATCTATGAGCTCTGGAAGCATCTTTTTCAGTAGCTTAGTTGGTATAGGGTCTAACATGTTGATTTTGATGATGTACCCCTTAGGGCTGTCAAACGATTAATCGCATCCAAAATAAAAGTTTGTGTTTACATAATATATGTGGGTACAGTATTTTATATATATAAATACACACACATGCTTGTATATATTTAAGAAATATTTTAATGTATATACTGTATATAGATTTATATGTAATTTATATTATATCTAAATATTTTATATATAAATAATATTTTTTCTTAAATATACATGCACATCTGTATATTTATATATATATATATATATATATATATATATATATATATATATGCAAAATAATTATACACAGTGCACCCACATATATTATGTAAACACAAACTTTTATTTTGGATGCGATTAATCGCGATTAATTGTTTGACAGCCCTAGTAGCCCTCAAACCATATTCACTTTATAGCCCTTAATCCTGTCTGTAATTGTGGACAAATGTGGGCACAGAGGACTCAGGTGTGATCCTAATTTTAATTTATTATAAATGTTATATCACTGTCTTTGATAAAATTTTGTCTATCCATTTATGGTGTTTTTTTTTTTTTATTTGGGAGGTATTTTTGAATTTATTTACTTCAAAAAGTACCATATTTTCTATGTAAATTATTTCTATGTAAATGAATTACTATGTAGTTTTATTTTTATTTTTTTTATTTTCTTAACTACATTAAAATATCATTCCAATAAGTTCTTAGACCTAAAACCTAAAGATTAAGTGACTTTGCTGTGACCTGGTGTCTTATTTTGTCTTATTTTAGAATGCACTAAATTACAGTTTTTCCCATTCGTTTTGATGGGTACACATTTTTGACCCAAATACAAGATTAAGGAGTTTTTTTTACCCACTTAACATTGTAAAATTGAGTAAAAAAAATTGTGTGTTCAGGAGGCAAACTTAGGAAAAGTAGCCAAGTCTTGTACCGCTCAGATCAAGGGAAGTATTTTTAAAAATAAATCAAAACTATTTTGCCCACATTTGTCCAGAATACGGTTTTAGAGTTAAAGGGTTTCGACAAGTCTTCCTCTCCTATAGCAATGAATGAATGGCAATTTTCCTCAGGGACACTACAATGCACTCTTTGATGCAGTACTGTAGTAGACAGTTGCATGGCTTTAAATTTCTCTCTAATATTATCAATCGTGCAAGTAAAGAAGTTCATAAAGTCATGATTGCAGGGACAAAAGCATAGAACCAATACTGAACCCTGTGGTACCCCATAATTGTATTTTATAATATTTTTGGGTTTTTTTTATAACTGACAGTTTGAACAATTTTAATTAAGAGTTAACAATATTGTGAAGAGGTTTTGAGATTGCATGTGACACCTATCTTTGTAGCTTATATGTGTATAGTCTCTAACATATCTATATTGTTGCTTTGATACTGTTGATTTTGATGTGTGTTGCTTTGTACCATTAAACTGGGCTTAATTTGTATTTCTCTTTTTTTGTCTTAGACCTGATGGCACTAAAAGAGGAGCGTCAAGAACTGAATGAAATGGAGGAGAAAGACCAATGTGACAAACAGAATGATCGTATTAATGAAGAAAAGTCATTTAGTTGCTCACAGACTGAATATACTTCACAAAAAGAAGCAAATAGAAGTTATTTGACCTGCCAACAGCAGCCTTTCACATGCCCTCAATGTGGGAGAGGTTTTACATATAAAACAACCTTTAATGCCCACATGCGAATTCATACCGGAGAACAGCCTTACACCTGCCCTATATGTGGAAGGAGTTTTAGACAAAAACCAACCTTTAATACTCACATGCGAATTCACACTGGAGAACAGCCTTACACCTGCCCTACATGTGGAAGGAGTTTTAGACAAAAACCAACCTTTAAAGGAAAACTCCACCGTTTTTTGAAATATGGCTTATTCACATTCTTTCCTACATTTAGATATGTGTGCAAATGCATTTTTGTCTCAGTGCATGCATTGTTTTAGTTTGACAGGATCGGCGCTAGCTTAGCTTAGCACAATGAATGGATTCCCTTGTTGCCAGCTAGCATGTCCTGAGTAAAAGTGATTAAAAAAAATAAACAAACCCACGTAATTACTTCTTGTGGCCTGCGTATTCACAACGAGTACAAATAGCGACGCAGATTAACACTAGGCGATTTCCTAGGCAGATGTTGACATGGGACTATATTAGGGGGAAGCACAGGCGAAGCACTGCTGCTAAGGCGAATCACTGCTACTTGGGCGCAGAGACGTCACGCAACACATGAAATCCCACGACTTCCGTAAACATACCGGCTTGAATAGTAGCTACCTGACTATTTTCCTTACAGTACATGACTGGCGATGAACATGTCTGATTTTGTGAGAGACGAAGAGGGTGACTTCTCAGAAAGTCAAGACAAGAGCCATAACGTTACCTATTTGAACCAGAGTTTTCAGAAGAGGAGCTGCGTGCTTTAGAAATCGATCGAGAGGAGGAGGATGTTGCGATCGCTCAACAGCCTGAGGACGTGAGGATGAGGGCCAACACGAACTGGTGGTGTGAATGTGGGGGAATATGCCAACCTATGCCAACTGAAATAGAGTGTCTGTGCTGTGGCGAGTGGGGCCGATGGCCAGGCTCAACGCGTCAGATAAGATGAGCGTGCCCGCAGTTGTGTCACAGCTAACGTTACTGAAGATTTCACGGCACTGACCCTGATCCATCCTGCAGTACTCGTTTTTTTTTATTTTTATTTTTTTTTTTATCCGGTGTGATAAGGTGAACTGGAAAAAACGCGCCACGCCGATTGGACCAAATGGATATAGGTAAGTTATAATGATGACAGGTTGTTCATGCTAAACAGGTAGAATTCAACATGACGTTATAGTCTAGATAAAGCTTCTCAGCATCGATCTTACAACAGAATAAAGACACCGATAAACATAAGGAAGAGAGTAATAAAAGAACTTACTTTGTTCTGCCTGCGCTTTGAAAATAGATGGGACGGCCGTATCTTTCAGACGTAGTAACTTTACCGTCTTTCTGGGCACATATTCCATTTTTTTCAAGGGTAACGTTAGTCCTCTGGTGCAAAATGCTCTTCGCAAACAAAACATTTTTATTTTGTCGAGTGGCGTTGATGTAGGCTACAGATCTCCAGAGCAGCTAGCCATTTATTTCTCAGTTTCTGTGAAACATTACATTCGTGTAGTTCTTTGCTTGTTCTCACAACCTTTTGCTATGCAGGTAATTACCATGTTTGCTGTAACTTCTCAAAATAAATACTCCTAAAGCGAAGACACTTGTTGCAGGTCGCGGCTATGTTCTTCCTCTGTTTTTTTTTTGTGTTTTTTTTTTTTTTTTTACGCGCTGAACACCGGTATGTTTATGGAAGTCGTGGGATTTCATGTGTTGCGTGACGTCTCTGCGCCCAAGTAGCAGTGATTCGCCTGTGCTTCCCCCTAATATAGTCCCAAGTCAATATGTGCCTAGGAAATCGCCGAGTGTTAATCTGCGTCGCTATTTGTACTCGTTGTGAATACGCAGGCCACAAGAAGTAATTACGTGGGTTTGTTTATTTTTTTTAATCACTTTTACTCAGGACATGCTAGCTGGCAACAAGGGAATCCATTCATTGTGCTAAGCTAAGCTAGCGCCGACCCTGTCAAACTAAAACAATGCATGCACTGAGACAAAAATGCATTTGCACACATATCTAAATGTAGGAAAGAATGTGAATAAGCCATATTTTAAAAAACGGTGGAGTTTTCCTTTAATGCCCACATGCGAATTCATACTGGAGAGCAGCCTTACACCTGCCCTACATGTGGAAGGAGTTTTAGACAAAAAACAACTTTTAATACCCACATGAGAGTTCACACTGGAGAGAAGCCGTTCACCTGCCAACAGTGTGGAAAGAGTTTCACTGTAAATGGAAACCTTAAAAAACACATGAGAATTCACACTGGAGAAAAGCCTTTCATAGGAGATTAGTGTGGAAAGAGAACCTTGTAGAGTAAACCTTGATTCACATTTTTGATCAGTGTAAAAAAAAAAATTAGACCCCATTTTTGTTAATTTTGTGGGAAGTGTTTAACTTGGCACTAAAACATTTAGGATCCACTCATGCCGCAACTGAAGTTATAGGGATTGTAGTTGATCTATGATTCGTACTGGCCAGCTGCTCCCCAGATTGGAATGCATTGTGATTCGTGCATTACTTGCAAAGTTTAATGCATGTACTTATGATTTGTCACTTGTAATGAACCCAAAAAGTTGTCTCTTTTGGAGTTATGCATTCTAAAAATAAACTTGTTCTGTCGATCAGGATCTTTTGCTGGTTAACAGTGCGATCGTAGTCAGCGCACACTTTAAATTTGCACATACAGAGAATGGCATCGCATCTGGAGCTGACTACCAAAATACTGAAGTAAAAGCAAGGAAGTTTGCATTCAAAGTCAAAGACATTGAGCAAATGTCTATAACCGGACCTGGAAATGATACAATGTAAATGATAGATTATACATAGAATTATGTAAACTTTAAAATGCAATAGTCATTATTTCATTCAGTGAGAGAATGCATAAATTTTCAATCCGGATTTGAAAATGGCCACTGTTGGTGACCTCTAGAAGGTGGTTCCAGCTAGCAGTCTCAAAAGTAATTAATTATTGCAGCTTAACCCCCTCACACAAGTATTGTCACACAATCTTTTTTTTTTAGATAGAATAGAAGAGAAAGTGTTCAGCTGTTTCTTGAAAGTGGCTACTGACTCCGCAGCTCTGGTTGAGTTAGGCAGATCATTCCACCATCAGGGAACAGACACGGTAAAGGTCCAAGAAAGAGATTTTAGCTGCGTTTCCACTGCAGGAACTTTCCCCAGGAACTAGGAACTTTAGGGTGGAACCAGGGTCTAAATGAAGTTCTGGGTAAAAATTTCCCCCCCAGAAAGTCCCTGCTGGCGAGTCAGTACTGTTTCAGAGTTCGGGAACTTTCGGGGTGGGACTTGTGCACTGAACATGCTGATTGGTTCTTACCACTTGTTCTCTCTGCCCGATAGCGCGTGTTCATCCCACCCATCTCAGGTTAATGTCCACTGATAACAAACATCTACTTTTAGTTTTATATCTAGCATTACGAGCTTTCTGGATACGCTTTGGGTGCTTGTCTCTTTTCTGCTGTTTTGTTAATTACCTCGTTAGTAAACCAATCGCACACAAAAGCAGCAGAGCTTGAATCTCCTCCATACAAAACTCAAAACTCAAACTCGCCAGAGGTAGGACTGGTTCAACAGGCTCAGGTGCATCATAAACATCATCACAGAGAAGGGACATTGTGCTTGGTAGCGATGTTGTGCAGGACGATACCACAAGTATTATATTGCATGCTTCCTGTGGTTACACTCGCAAGTAAAGGCATGCATAGTGTCTCTTCAGAACTCCATGCCAGCAGCCATATCACCCTGAAGCCCAAGACTGGTTGCCCACTGGAGCTAAGCAGGGCTGAGCCAGGTTAGTACCTGGATGGGAGACATTCTGAGAAAAACAGTTTGCTGCTGGAAGAGGTGTTAGTGAGGCCAGCAGGGGGTGCTCACCTTGTGGTCTGTGTGGGTCCTAACACCCCAGTATAGTAATGGGGACACTATACTGTCAAGGAGCACTGTCCTTTGGATGAGACGTTCTGGTGCACTATGCCTGCTGTCCCATCATCTAGGTGGATGCTGCACATTGGTGGTTGAGGAGATTCCCCCCTCCATGTAAAGTGCTTTGAGTGCCGAGAAAAGCGCCATATAAATTTAATGAATTATTATTTAAATGCTCAGTTGCTCGTCTTGTTTTGCAATGAGCAGTGTTGAAGTGTGCAGGTGTGGTTGCTGTAAGAAAAGGAGTCATCAGCCATGGGTAGGAGTGGATAGGCACTGTCTCCCAATATTATGCCATCTGGTCGGTTTGTTTGGAGCTATCTGTATAAAGCACTCTCTCTCAAGATATGTGCATCATGAACAGACCCAGGCCACTTTACGACACAGTTTGTGATGATGAGGTCAGCATCGCCCACAAGTTGGATATTGATGCTGCGCCTCCCCTTTTGGTTGATGTACTCCCAATCCCTCTCATGAGGTGCTTGGATATGCACATGCGTGCAGTCAATAACCCCAATAGTATTTGGGCATGTTCCCCAAAAGAAAAAAACTTGTGCTTGGTCTGGGCAATCTAGATTGACATCCTTTGGAAGTGAACCAAACTTATTGACCAGGCTGGCCAATGCAATTGACACTGATTTGTCCACTCCTATATTGTCACCTACAACTTGGTAGAAAGTCCCAGATGCATAGAAGTGCAGTCCAATGAGGACCTGTTCTTCCATAGACAGACTGTGACTCCTTCGGGTTCTCCGTTGAAGTTTTGGCCTGACAAGGTCTGCAATGTACTTACTATCAGCCTTCCCAAAGGGAAAGCGAGCATACAGTTCTTCAGTAGTGTATTGCTCCAGTGATTGTGCATGGTCAACATACACCCTTTGACTGTATCCTCTTCCACCAAAACGGTGGTAGCGATGGACAATATCTGCCATGTCAGTGCCTCTCTCTAAGTCCTCTGAGAAAGGCTAAATATAAGATGGCTGTCAAATACCAATTGGCTGCTATGTTGTGGCTTGTGTTCAATTAAATCAATCATGCCCAAGGCCTTATAAATACTATGTTCACTACAACAGATGAGGTGGAACCATGGACTCAAAAGGACCTAATTTCCCTGTTGCAGAAACCCATTCACTGCTGGAGAGTGTTAAGTGCCATTATGCCTCAATGAGTAGGAAGCTCTGTTGTGGGTGGGAATGGTGACTTACAAAAGGAAGAAAGATATTTGGGTTGAAATCACGTAGAATGTGAATACAATGAGATCTGGCCATAAGAGGACCTTGGAGCAAGTGAAGATGGAAGAATCTGAGGGCCAGAGGAATAAAGGATCTGAGGCAAAAAACACCAAAACAGTCAACAAACCCTTTAAGAAAGGTGAATACACAGATGTGGTTCTGGACATTATTGGAGGTGAGAACTCTAAATCTCTGCACGGGATTCAATGTGTTGTAGGCGATGGTGATCCTACGATTGTAGAGGAAAGTGAGCCAGTTCCTCCTAATGCAGAGGAAACATTCATTCTGGATCTCAGCCCTGTTATTGAAGAACAACCTGGATCCTCACTGGTAGAGCCAGCAGTCACAGGAGCTCAGAAAAGAGGCTTGAAGCGCCCTTTGCTGAATATTAATGATGATGCCTATGAATCACTTCTTAAATGAGAAACTGAAATAGCAGAAGCACAGATACTCCTGGCAGAGGAACAAATCAAGCTGACCAAACTGTGGCAAACCAAAGCGAAACTTCAGATCCGCCTTCTAAAAACAGGCCTTGGAAATGGTGGTCTCTCCTCCTTAGATGAAGAAGAACCTTTCTTTAGTTCTTTTTAAAAATGTTTTCAAAATATCCATAATGTATTTGTTAATGTATATTTGTTTTTTATTTGTTGTGGCTCAGAAGAGGGGTCATAAAAGAAATTATCAATGCAAGTGGATGTTTGTTATTTTTGTGTTTTGTCTCAAAATAAGAAATCCTTACAGTGACCTTGTTGGGTCTTCTACCTGTTCTTTACATAGCTGTTAGCCCTCATTGTGATATGTTGTCCCATTTACAGCCCTGGTAATCCGGATTTAGTTATCTTGAAAACTGTGTATCTGTATCAGGGGTGCGTTTCCCGAAAGCATCGTTTGCTGATCAGTTTCTGATCTTTTTCTGATCTAAAGGGCAGTGACTGATGACGTTTCACAAGTACAGACAAGAACGCATATTGAGAAACGGCCATTGAGCAGCAGAAAGAGACTACCTCACGCCTGCACACATATTCTAGCATTGGTAACATCGCAGCCGGTTCATTATCAAAATAATATACAGTCAACCAAACATAGAAAGTAGTCTGTAGTACAATCTGTGCATCGCCTCATTGTGCTGCTATAGTCTGTGTGAAGGATGATGTTTTACGCTGATAATGTGAGTGAAGTTCGTGGTGTTTGAGCCTGTTGACGGAACCGGGCGACGTCCGACTTCATTTAAAGTAGTTTTTTTGGTCCGTGTAATGGTGCGTTCACACCGGACGCGAATAACGCGTCAGGCGCGAATGATTTCAATGTTAAGTCAATGCAAAGATGCGTTAAGCACGTAAAAAATTCCTGCAGCGCGAATGAGGCGACGCGAATACGCCGTGACGCTCGAATGATTTAGTTAGTGCTTTTTGTGCATTCACGCATTTGAAGCGATTTCGCGTCTGCCGCCTGAGTTGAAAAATCTGAACTTTGGCGTCAATTCGCGCCGCGTTAACCAATCAGGAGCCTAGCTGCTTGCTCACGTGGTGAAGCATCTGGATGCTTCAATAAATTATTTTGTAATATGACTAAATGCCTGGTGTGGTTCTAATGCATTACTAAGCAAATATTTTATCACTTAAAACTTTATTTCTATATACGAGATATGTTATTCATATATTATACGATATATATATTATCGAGATATATTATTCATTCCATATCTAGATTATATAAAATAGTATTATGATGTAAAGACAACCAACATACATGTGCATATGTTCATGTCTGGACATGAAAGAGAGAAAAAAAATCACAGGACAGGTTAATAACTTTTGGAGGCTGGCTCTATTTATCATCAAAACAAAAATAAATGACAGATTAGATGGATGAGGGCGAGGGTGATCCTCGCTCTGATGCGGGACAACAGGTCATCAAACTGGGCGCGTGACAGGCAGAAATACCGCTGACAGCGGCCGTCATCCAGCGCAGCTCCTAAAGCAAGCAAATGGTGAAACTCGCCAAACGGTTCACCTCCGAAGGGTCCGGTAGACAAATATACGCCAACGATGATCCCTACGCCGCTGTTCTGCTCTCCAGAGTAAATACAGAGAGGTGAATCTCTCGATGAATGCTCGGTCGACATAAAAAAATGGCCGCCAACGGATTTCGATTCTGACCCGCTTCACGCGTGTAAATTTCGCTTCAAACTTTTGTTTTTACGCGTGTCAGTTTCACTCAAGCATCAAACTGGACGCATCAGGCGCGAATTTGATGCGCAATTTGCGTCCGGTGTGAACGCAGCATAAGACTTTTCATGACCAAACCATGTCTTGTCCATGCCTCAGAGGAACCCCCCTTGTTTAGGAACGAGCTCCTCAATTTGTCCTGTCTGGCCCTTCTCGCAGTTCTGTCTCTTCTTCACTCGCCATGCTGTTAGGTTTCTGCCTGCATCCCCATGCCACACCGTTCACCATATATTTGGTATCCACGTTAGCAGCGAGCTAGCTTTATACTAAATAAAGTTATATAGTCAGTGTCGTTCACAGCGCCTTTTAATGGCTGATTTTAATCCGGAATTTATTCATTTACAAATTAAGCAATGGTGATGGATATACCTCAAGAGTTACTGTGTTTCTAGTAAACTGGTTGTTGTATCTTGTATCTAGAAACTAAACAACATTCACTCTTAATAAGTGTAGATGAGGATTAACAACTTGATAAGAAACTTCTATAGTCACATTTCTAAACAAATTGTACACTGTTTATTATAATAAATATATTCCAGGGACATGTTAAACATATTTCAGTTTAATTTATATTAAATGATTAATAGTCAGACAGTAACTGTATCCTTTACATGCCCCTTTAATATAATGCACGTTAAATCAATTAAAGTTGCAATTCAATTTTATTTATTGAATAAGATGGGTATTATAAAAATGATTCATTCTTAGTTAATAAGTGAAACCACACATTTCATTTTGATCTACAATTTTTCTTATGAGTTAGGTATATTTAAACATTCTTACCAGTCTTTTATATATGAAGACTTAAATAATATGAAGATACCCTTGATTGAGAAAATCACAAATGCTCTGTAGCTGGTATTATAATTGTGATCACTTCACACTTGCTTACATTTAAATGAATTCATAATTATATCTTATCATGTGAATGTGTGTTCTGTATGCTTATTTCTAGGACTTTTATTTTGGCACGTTAGTATTACGTCATAAGGCTGCGCCATCTGTGATTCTGCTGGAGAGAGGTTTGTGTTTTTTAATCATTTAAAGTGTTTAAACCAATACAAGCTCTGAGTACAATTATATAGAGAACTGTGAGTTAAGTTTAATATTAAGGAATGCAACACTGTTGGTTAAATAATAGCATTAATGAACATCGTTTTTTAATGAGTAAAGCGCATGAGTAACAGAAAATCTGCGTCTCATTTCGCTCCCTGTCTGTCAGTTTAACGTAACTAAATGGTGGTCACATGACCGAATTAGCCGTAATGTGTTCGTGGTGTTTCTCCCGTTAAAGCTAATTTTCTCTGTTGTTCAAAGGCGCGTTAATAAGCTGTTATATTCATGTCATTAAATTATATCACTGTTTAGAACAGATCATTTAAGTCTATTAACTCTCTCTCTCTGACTGACTCTCTTACCAGTGAACTGAACTACTGAACTAGATCTGATTGAGTCACTTTCAGAGATTTAGTTTAGAGTGTTTTTAGTCTAATCAGGTCATTTAAGTCCATTAACTCTCTCTCTCTGACTGACTCTCTTACCAGTGAACTGAACTACTGAACTAGATCTGATTGAGTCACTTTCAGAGATTTAGTTTAGAGTGTTTTTAATCTAATCAGATCATTTAAGTCCATTAACTCTCTCTCTGACTGACTCTCTTACCAGTGAACTGAACTACTGAACTAGATCTGATTGAGAGATTTAGTTTGCATTTATTTTTATTTTTTCTAATCTTAAACAGAACAGTGTCCAAACATACAGAAAAACTCCTGATGAAGCGACAGAGATCCATGTGACACTATTATAAAGATGGCATTTATTAAAGAGGAGAGTGAAGACTTCAAGATTGGAGAAACATTCAGAGTCAAACATGAAGACACTGTGGAACACACAGGTTGGTTTCATTCTCAAAGCTGAACTCAGTCATTTGATCCTTACTGAAAAGCCCAGCTCTACAAAAATGAATGATATTTTTGAAGAATCACTAAGTTTGGTTTTCTACTGCGTAAAAGAGTTGTACCTCTTCCTGCTTTTGGGTACTTATTTTTTGTACCACCTCCGGCAAGGTTCTGAGCGAGCGAAGGCGGTACTAAAATGTCACGTGAAAACAATGCCGACTGCTGATTGGTTTAGAGAATTGTCACCATTCACTGACCATTCACTGAGCCTCATCATTACACGCGCCAGATGGAGTATCCAGAATAACCCCGCCATTTTAAAAATAGTTTGGCCAGAGATAGTGTTGTGGCAAAAATACTGTCAAACATCATCACTGCGTAAGAGACACTCAGAGTCAAATTAATAAAGAAAGAGAAGTTTTATTCTTGCAAGAATAGGCCCAGTCGCCAGCACAGCAATT